TAGAATTACAACCTGCCTATACAAATGCACCAAAATATTTCATCATGAATTTCACAAAAATCTCCAAATTTCTTTTATAAGATAAATACTAAGTAAAATTCTAATCTAATTACATATATACCACCTTAGCTAACCAATTTTTAAAAAGTGAAATACACCTTTGCATGGAGAGCCCCTAAAATATTAGAATGCTTCTTTTTCAATCACTTTGCATCCTTTCAATCTTTTGGGTTTTATAAAATAATCATTAACCATATAATTTGAATATTTACTACATTCTTAAGAAATATAGAAGTATCTCAAGTATATGCAAAGTTCTAACTTCATGTACCAATTTTAAAGGTAATTAACTTCTTCGTTAAAAAAAAAAAAAAAGGTTACATAATTCTATTTTTTTTTTTTATGGCAAAGAATTTTCTTTTTAAATATATGATCAATACTCCATCAATATTAAATACTTATTTTATTTTATTTTTTCTCTATCTTTACTTCAAATTTTAATAATTTCATTCTTAAGTTTCACTTTATTCCTTTTTTTGTTTAACCTTTTAAAAAATAATTCAATTTTAAATAAAAAATAAGCATAGAAGATAAAAATAATTTGCTTATCTAAATGCAAAGAAAACTCACGATGTCTCAAGTACACATTTTCTCCGCCTTCATGAGCATATAGGTTGATCCACGGAGCAACCCACACTTCCATGTAAGAGCAATATGATTTTATTTCACGTAGCATGTTTAAAATTTAAAGTTAAAGTTTTTATATTTGCTAATCTACCTTGAAAAACCAAATATTGTTCACCTTTAGGTTCCAAAATCTTTACCCGTATGAGAACAAGTATATGTTGATAAAAGGTGCATGATTAAATTGTGAAATATATATCAACGGTCATGTTGTGCTTGGTTTTGTTTTTATCGTCCCGGTTTGGTTTATATTTAGACTGCTTGCTTTCATTTTAGAGCATAAGTAATTTTAATATATTTTGGATAATTACTATGAAAAAAAATAAATCTAACAATATGAAAGCTAAAACGTAGTTTTCTTGAAACAAATCACTTTTTAAGAATTTATTTAATTTCTTTGTCATATCAATTTATAATTTATTTATAGATTAAATAGATTAATAAATTTGATTATAATTATATAAAATCATAATACATCTATTGTGATCATTCTATCACCTCATATCTGGCTTAAAAATAGTATTTTTATCAAACAACTGCAATTCTTACAATAATTTTCAAGCGCAATTTTAACAAAATTTTACAAAATAAATATCTATTTACAAAACACATAATAGCATTATATTAGCATAAAATAGAACAGAAGAAAAAAGCAATGCCAAACAAAGACTAAATCACTTATTCCTTTTAATTCAAAGAAGCAATTAAATTTACTATTTCAATTTTAAAAAGCAATTAATTCCTATTTTTATATTTTACCATATTAAATCATAAAAAATTTAGAAAAGGGGTTATTCTGATTTAAGAAATTCAAGAACGACTTCAAAAAAAGCAATCACCTGAGGAATATTATTAAACCGAATGACATGATCAGAAAGTGTTGAACCAGGAAAAACATCTCCGCCAATTGCAATGCCTAAAAATTTAATTAGATAGCAAAACTTTTAGGCCACTATCACAACAAATGAAAATAAAGACGAACAAGTGGGCTACACATTCTACATATACAAAAGAAGACGAGTCAAGAAAGGAGTTAATGTGGAATAGCTCAATACCTTCATAAATTCCATCAGTTACACGTGCAATTGTATTGTAAAGCTCATTTGACATCCCACCCTATCATTAAAAAAAAAAAACTATTCTTCAATAGGTATAAAGATTGTCAACAACAAATCACACATTTCTAAAATTAACTCGATAAAAAAATGCAAATATTCATAACCAATAGTCAAAGATTGTTCCCACTCAACTCACGATCGATGTGAGTTATAAACACTTCTATTATGCTTAATAATGGAATAGTTGACAAGATCCACCAAATTGCATGAAACACTTGATTTCAAGCAAATTATTAGCTTTGATCCAGTTAAGGCTATCTCATGAGGGGTGAAAGTTGAGCCCAAAATATCAATCCAAACAACCACCAATACAAAGATTATGATAATGCGTAAAGGCTAACTATTAATTTTGTTTCTGTTTTATTTAACTGTCTATTGTGAAGTTAATTTCACACATATGTGCATCTCGAGACCTTCGATTGCTATATTGTACAAATAGCAATGTGACATCCAACAGAATTTCTATTTCAACTTAATTCAAGCAGTCTCTAACATAATCCATAATATAACCTTATAAATAATATAAAAATCATCAGACTACTCCCTCATAATCACCATTGAAGAATAAAACGACTTCTAAATTTCCTAATGCAATTTCATGATCCAGGAGTCTCTAGATTTTTTTGTTTCTTTTTTAGAAAGGTGCTCACGTTATCATGTCTTCAACATGATCTTGGAATATAGAATGATCAGCACATAAGAGTGGAACAGAAGTAAACCAAGAGACCAGTAATAGTTAGACATACCGATTTAGAGACAAAACCAACAGATCCAGGTCTATAGAGCTTGCATTGAATTATATTGTCGATTGTTCCTGCTGTATCGCCTATCTTAAAAGCTCCTGCTTGGATTCCCCCAACAGTGGCAGGACCAATGACTACCTGATAATATTAACAAACATGCAAGGTTAACATGCAAAAGAAGAAAAACTCAATAAATAGAGCAATGCATACACGGCATACTATGAAGTAATACTTCCATTGTTGTAATATATTGATGCTTATAATTTTATCTACAATTTTATGATACAAACTTCTAAGTAAATTGGAAAAAGTTTTTTAGTCAAATTTAAATTGTATTACCTGATCTAAACAATCATATACTCACCAAATCCACACACATTTTTGCCACTTGTCGGTATTCATTTAAAAAATTCATGGGGGAAATTTAGCAAAAATAATGATAATATAATTAAAGTGAGGACGAATTACATACATACCACTCAACTCCAATGTGTTTACATATCTAACACCTAAATTCAATTTTACATGCATACCACCAAACTAATGCTTGAAAAGACATGAAAAGGTGTATTTCAGTTTTTAAAAGTTAAAATGGTGGTATTTTTATGTGATATGAAAGATTTGGGTGGTATAAATGTAAGAAGTAATGTTCAGGTGTTAGATATGTAAATACATAAGAATTGAGCGGCATGTATGTAAATGCCCCTTAAAGTAAATCTTTCATAAATGATGCAAGCAAATAAACCAGATAAGCCAATAGGATCGACATAGAAAACATGCTTACACCACATTCAAGCAGTGGAAGCAAGAAAAGCCTTTCTTGATCCCCATTTTATTATTATTTTTTTTATGGATGGTAAAACGGTTTGATTTTTCTGAGAGTGGAAATGTAAGTTAAGATAGATGGAAAATTTGGGATAATTTTGGTGATGTTTGATGGGCTTGGACAGTGAATATACTACAGGTTGTAAGCATTGGAAGATAGAAAAAAAATGAAGATGCTACAGGTTAATACTCTAGCCATCTTTAGCTATGTAAAACGGTTTTGATTTTTCTGAGAGTGGAAATGTAAGTTAGGATAGATAGAAAATTTGGGATAATTTTGGTGATGTTTGATGTGCTTGGACAGTGTTTACATATCTTACACCTAAACTTTGCCTTTCACATTTATCCCACTCAGATTTCATATCACATCAAAAATACCCTCATTTTAACTTTAAAAAATTGAAATACACCTTTTTATGCATAAATGAGGTGGCATGCATGTAAAAATTGAAGTTTGTTTGTTAGATATGTAAATACATAAGAATTGAGTGGTATGCATGTAAATCCTTATCTAGTTTGTTATTGTGGTCTAAAGGGAAAAAATCTATCTTGGAAACATTGGATCCATGAGGTAGTCTTAAAGTGTCTAAACCTACTCTGCCTGTGGAGCATTGGTGTGATGTTGCAATATGAATACAATGTGATAGTCATCGAAATATGATTTTTTTTAATATATATATATATATATATATATATATATATATAAGAGTGCTTGTGTCCCCAACTTTGGCCTATTGGTAGAGTAGCCTCTTTGAAGAACGTAAGTCCCTTCAGGTCACGGGTTTGAATCCCTTTCTGGTCAGTTTGCCGGCAGTGAGGGAGGTCCTCAAATAGTTAGGCACATGAGGGTGGCTAGAGGCTCGTATAATAGCCTCCCATTATTTTTAATATATATATATATATATAAAAGAGAGTACTTTTGAAGATAAAGGGATTGTAAAATTGTAACATTGAATCAGAGAATGAGGGATATGCAATGGAATTGAGAAAATTTTGACAGGGATTATGTTGTGGGGAAGAAAGATTGCAGATTTTGACTCTCTATGAGCGAATATCATGAGAAGATAGGAATTGTGAAAATAATAGTGGGAAGAAAACTTTAAAAATTTCCTCCATAATTTATTCGTAATTTAAAAAATATTCTTTTAATCCTTATTACTAGATATAAGATTATAAGATAAAATAAAAGTAACTTAAAATATTTTTTATCTCACACTTGTACTTAAGCTAATATTGATTGTTTTTAAAACATAAATCAAGACAAGTTATAAAAATACTATCATCAAATTTAAGATAAAATAATTATAACATTGAATAAAATAAAACAAATATAAAATCATTAACTAATCCAAAATACTAGAAAATCTAGAAACAATATAAAACTATCTTTTATAAATATCTTCTAGCCCATCAATTCATGTAAGGAAAATAAAACTCTTTTCCGAAAAAGTTATACGTAAGCACTGGTCTTGAACGTCTCATTTCCACTGTAAAGGAGGAAATGGAAACTAGTTCAGGAAATAAAGATCCCATACTCAACAACAAATCTTGAAAATTATATTGTAAGAATGTCAGATGCAATCTAAACATAATAACTAAATTATGGAAGCTACATGTTCAAATGTTGACGTGCATCATACATTGAAACTATTAAAGATCCATACTCAGATAGTAGTACGTGAGTGGTGAAAATGAACTCAATATGAATTTTGGGGAGGAAACAAGAGATGATTTTGCAACGCAAGTATCGGTCAACAAATTTTAAAAATTATCTTGTAAGAATGCCAATTTTTTTTATTATTTTGATTAACCTATTTTATCAGCTTAATAAAAAATGATAGAATATATCTCAAATCTCAATCGGTAAGAAGTGCGAGCACAATCATTAATTTAGGCTTAGACAAAGTTTAAACTCTGCAAGAGGCTTGATTATTAGTGATTGATCATCATCATCTTATTAATTTACAACTTATGGATTATTCAAATAATATTCTTGTATAAAGAGAGTACTTTTGAAGATAAAGGGATTGTAAAATTGTAAAATTGAATCAGAGAATAAGGGATATGCAATGGAATTGAGAAATTTTTTACAGGGATTATGATGTAGGGAAGAAAGATTGCAGATTTTGACTCTCTATGCGCGAATATCATGAGAAGATAGAAATTATGAAAATAATAGTGGGAAGAAAACTTTAAAAATTTCCTCCATAATTTATTCGTAATTTAAAAAATATTCGTTTAACCCTTATGACTAGATATAAGACTGCAAAATAAAATAAAAGTAATTTAAAATATTTTTTAGCTCACACTTGTACTTGGGCTAATATTGATTGTTTTTAAAACATAAATCAAGACAAGTTATAAAAATACTATCATCAAATTTAAGATAAAATAATTATAACATTGAATAAAATAAAATAAAAATATTAAATCATTAACTAATCCAAAATACTAGAAATTCTAGAAACAATATAAAACTATCTTTTATAAATATCTTCTAGCCCATCAATTCATGTAAGGAAAATCAAACTCTTTTCCAAAAAAGTTATACGCAAGCACTCATCTTGAACGTCTGATTTCCACTATAAAAGAGGAATGAAACTAGTTCATGAAATAAAGATCCCATACTCAACAACAAATCTTGGAAATTATATTGTAAGAATGCCAGATGCAATCAAAACATGATAACTAAATTATGGAAGCTTCATGTTCAAATGTTGACGTGCATCATACATTGAAACTATTAAAGATCCATACTCAAATAGCAGTACATGAGTAGTGAAAATGAACTCAATATGATTTTCGGGGAGGAAACAAGAGATGGTTTTGAAACGCAAGGATCAGTCAACAAATTTTAAAAATTATCTTGTAAGAATGCCAAAAATTTTTATTATTTTGATTAACTTATTTTATCAGCTTAATAAAATAATGATAGAATATATGTCAAATTTCAATCGGTAAGAAGTGCGAGCACAATCATTAATTTAGGCTTAGACAAAGTTTAAACTCTGCAAGAGGCTTGATTATTAGTGATTGATCATCATCATCTTATTAATTTACAACTTGTGGATTATTCAAATAATATTCTTGTATACCTACTCATCAAGAAGATCGGGCTTTGGAATAAGAAGAGATAATAGATGAGCTTGAACTTAAAGAATTAACATAATTAATAAACCTTTAAAATTCAAGAATCTGATTTATAAGATGATCATTCATCAAGACAAGATGATTTTTGATAGAAAAATACAAGGATATTATATGTATCATCATTATAAGATTTATCATGAGAAGATAGTAAATCTTGAAAATTATATTGTAAGAATGCCAGATGCAATCAAAACATGATAACTAAATTATGGAAGCTTCATGTTCAAATGTTGACGTTCATCATACATTGAAACTATTAAAGATCCATACTCAGATAGCAGTACATGAGTAGTGAAAAAGAACTCAATATTATTTTTGGGGAGGAAACAAGAGATGGTTTTGCAACGCAAGGATCAGTCTACAAACTTTAAAAATTATCAGAATGCCAAACTTTTTTAATGTTTTGATTAACCTATTTTATCAGCTTAATAAAATAATGATAGAATATATCTCAAATCTCAATCGGTAAGAAGTGCGACCACAATCATTAATTTAGGCTTAGAAAAAGTTTAAACTCTGCAAGAGGCCTGATTACTAGTGATTGATCATCATCATCTTATTAATTTACAACTTGTCGATTATTCAAATAATATTCTTGTATACCTCCTCATCATGAAGATCGGGCTTTGGAATAAGAAGAGATAATAGATGTGCTTGAACTTAAAGAATTAACATAATTAATAAACCTTTGAAATTCAAGAAACTGATTTATAAGATGATCATTCATCAAGACAAGATGATTTTTGATAGAAAAATACAAGAATATTATATGTATCATCATTATAAGATTTATCATGAGAAGATAGGAATTGTGAAAATAATAGTGGAAAGAAAACTTTAAAAATTTCCTCCATAATTTATTTGTAATTTAAAAAATGTTCTTTTAACCCTTATTACTAGATATAAGATTACAAGATAAAATAAAAGTAACTTAAAATATTTTTTATCTCACACTTGTACTTGGGCTAATATTGATTGTTTTTAAAACATAAATCAAGACAAGTTATAAAAATACTATCATCAAATTTAAGATAAAATAATTATAACATTGAATAAAATAAAACAAATATAAAATCATTAACTAATCCAAAATACTAGAAATTCTAGAAACAATATAAAACTATCTTTTATAAATATCTTCTAGCCCTTCAATTCATGT